CGCATGCATGCGTCGAGACGAATGGTCATCCCATCAACAGGCAGACACCTTCATTCCAAACACAGCACCATCACATTTCCAACACAATTCATCACAGGGTCATCACATTTCCAACACAATTCATCACAGGGTCATCACATTTCCAACACAAATCATCACATTTCCATCACAAATCGAATTTGATATCCAACATGAAGTCTTGTGTTCAGTTGTTTAACAACTGTTTACCAACACACAGTTCAATGTGCCCTACACAGTTCAACACATTATAAACAGATTACAAACTGTTTACCAACACTTTGTTCAACTGTTTATCATGTCACTTCATGTGCACGACACAATTCGCAAACGTTGGTTTCCTTGACTTTCAGTTGACCACGGTGCATGTGCCATGAAAAACAGATTATAAACAGTTTATTAACAGATGACAGAGGTCAAGGACCCGTGATAAACACAAAAAAAAACCAGCGACAATTTTTCTGTTGTTGCCCCTTCGCCGCTCTAGCCGGGTGCGCCAGCTGTACATCCCGCGGTCCCCTACGACAGGATAGGTTCTCGCGGAGCACATCTTACCTTCCCTAAGGGGTTGTCACCACCCTCAGGGGCGTATCCCTACCGAGCTACTGACCCACGTGCGAAGACTTTTACATGCAATTGCAGAGGTAGGTCAGTCGAGGGCGTTTGCTCACTCGCTGGAGTATAGGTACCCTTGGTTAACGCCAAGCGGACCTGAGCGTTGTCCGTCCCCTAGGGCGCTGATCTCCTAGGTACAAACGAACGTCGGTCGACTAGGACAGTCTCAACCAAACGTGAAACCCACAATATAATCCTAGTCCCTTTATAGTTATAAGATCACAGAATAAATAAATACACTCTTATCAAATCGCACAAGATAAGATTTTGACTTGATGAAATGATCTGTCAAAGTTTTTCTTCCTGGCCTGTATGATTGAGAAGACATTTATACCGCCGCTTCCGAGGCCGAGGCTTGATATTGATGAAAGATTAGGACGACCAACCTAACCTTTCACTTACGGTTGGGTCTGTCGACATCTATCAAACCCTGTCAGGAATGACTTTTGCAAGTAAATTTCACTGCTACCATGCAGATCAACAAGTGATCGGGTCCCTGGTCGAAGTTTGAGCTCTTGGTTCGACCACACCCCCGCAACATATATAACTTAGTCGGAGGCGCGTAACAATTTTGTTGGTCGCTTTGTCTTCCTGGACAATAATTACTCTTTCTGTTTCATGAATGATTAAGTATTCATCTGCATCATTAGGTCATTCAAAACAAAACTGCAGTCATTATCACTGTGCAAAGAGAACCATCACCTTCACTACCTACTTCTTCTTGTGGGTTGGAGCTTCTTCTGCCTCCAACACGCACCCATCCCTCTAGGAAGTGGTTTTGTGGATACTCCTTCCCCTCGTCCGAACCCGAAGACTCGGATCTGAGAGGTTGGGCCGTCACCACCAAGTTGGCAGAGTACCACCCCTGACGAATCGGGTCCACTCCAAGTTGATAACAGAGCCGGTTCCGAAAGCATATGAACCCCCGCCTTGGATGCTTTCTAGAGAGAAAGACTGTGTTCGCCATGAGAAGGTTTATTTTATTCTCATTACTCATAAGTTTTGGATAACTTAGAAAAAAAAGAAACTGAAGAAGATAGACAACGAGAATCATTTGGACAGGTATAGATAGATAAGATCGTTCGGGATAGAAAAAGTCAATCATGGAGACAAAATCCGTTTGACCTTATCTGCTTCATTCCAATTGAATTCATTCTATGACACATGCTGAATGATATTTTTCAAAACAACAAGTTCCTTTGACGAGCAGGCACGTGGAAGGTAAAAGGAGGGATAATCCTTTTCTTTATCTCAAACAGGCATAATCAATCCCCTTTGCAAGCACCCTTCTACCTACCTGCACATCAAACCAAACAACAAGTTCAAAGGAAAACAAAGCAAACCCGAACTCACGTCAGACTCTCATTCACACACGCAAACACACATTTTCTTTACCTTTTCAGTGAACATTCAAAGAACAGGGTTAAGCAAACTGTGGGTTCACACAGGTGTGAAGGGGTCTGAGTCAAACTGACCTTGAGTGAAGTTGAAACGACTCACTCAAGGAAGTCGTTCGACGTTCTGATCAGAAGAAAACAATGGTCGCCGAAGTCCAAAGTGTGTGGCTCACAACTCTCCCAGTTGTGGCCGCTCCACTGCGTCATAATCCCCATCTCGTTTTCAGAACCTCTCCAATGCAGCCCCAATCGCTCCTTGACCACCAAGGATACCGTGAAACCAACTCGACAATCCACACCGGCTCAAACATCTGCGTTCGCACCCCAAGTTGGCCCCACTAGGTCCCCAATTGATCCCAAGCGGTCCCGGTCGATCCCACATCATCGCCCGCAATACCAGATGGTCCATTGCGCGCCGCAAAAAAATAAAGGTGACCGCGGTGGAAAACGTAAGTGCCACGAGCCCCAATAGTCACTGTCGCGTGCACTCATTCCACACTTCTTTCATGGTTCCGGTCCACACACCACTGCCGCACAATCCCAATTGTGCACCAGTGTTCATACTACAGCCGGATCATGAAAGAATAGTACACCATGACCGTGCACATCAAAAATTAAAAGCGGGACTGCAGCTCGCCGCGACGTCGAAACCGGTACCACGCCGCCGTGCCAAAAAAATATTGGCAGCACCTCCCCCTCAAAAAAGGTTGCCGCCGAGCCAAGATTTTAACAGCATAGTCCCACCGGATGCACCGCCGTACTCGTGCCTCCAAAAAAAAAATCCGACAGCGCTTCCTCGCCGCCTTCAAAAATGTTGCCGCCGCCGAAACATTTCGGCAGCGCTTCCACATCACCACCAAAAAAGCACTGTCGTTGCCTCACGAAGCGGATAGCACCCCCCCTGCGCTGTAAAAAAAAAACTCATTACCGCTGCCGCACCGAACGGGCAGTGCCTCCCCTGCACCTCACGACAAATGGTTGTCAACCCCGCGTCGAACGGGCAGCACCTCCCCTGTTTTGTTGTCTACGGCCGCAGCTATGGCAGCAGCAATACCTCCCTTACACTTCACCAAGTGAAGTGGTGGCTATGGCAGCCCCCACTCCTACGCTCTTTGCAGGCCTCCAACGCTCCCCTTCGCTGAAATGGTGGCTATGGTTGTGCCCCACAGCTCTGGTCACCTCCAACACTCTTCCCCTTCCGCTGAGGTGGTGGCTATGGCTGTGCTCCACAACTATGGCCACCTCCAGCAATCTCTCTCTCAACTCTCCCTTTCTTCGCAGACCTCCACCCTCAGCTCTCTCTCTCACTCCAGCCAGCAGCAACTCCTCCTCCAGCAGCCAGCAATCACCCAAGTGAGTTGCTATCTGCACCAGCCACAATTGATTGCTGGCTGGCTGGCTGCTGGCTGCTTTTATAGTTGAGGGAGGTGGTGGTAGCAGCCTGACCCCTCAACCAAAAATTCGAGCTCAGGCTGGGCCCTTGATCTCCAAGTGAGATCAAAGGCACATACCAGCTCCACACAACAAAAAAAGTCAGGTCCATCCACAAGGAAAAGGACCTGGCTCTTTTCCTGAAGTAAATTCATCAAGGGGAGGCTGTATTCAGCACCTTCCCTTGTTGGTCTGCTACTGCTGAGGCTCAGCCTCAACAATGCATCTCCTCTTAGACCTGGCAAAATTCAGAGTCAGCTTCCTAGCTGGCTTGCTGCACAAGGTGCACCAAACCACTTGAGAACCTGGCCCCAACAGTGGCCAGGTGCACACACACACAAAAACAAATATTTAACTCCTCCTAAGCCTGGCCACATTCAATGCTAG